AGCGGACCTTCAGAGAGCAGCGGACCTTCAGAGAGCAGCGGACCTTCAGAGAGCAGCGGACCTTCCGAGAGCAGCGGACCTTCAGAGAGCACAACCTGCAGCTCATGTTCGACCAGACCACCGCCATGGGCGATGGGAGCCACCGCTGTGGCCCCAACCTGTGCCCGGACAGGATGGAGAGCAAGTGCCGCGCCGACCTGGGGAGCCGCTCCCCCGTGCACAGCTCCACGGACACGCCGGGGACCTCCGCGTCCACGCCGACGTCCTCCAGCGAGGACGGACACGACAAACTCCTGGGAGTGGACCCGGACTACTGCCGGAGGATCCTGGTGAGGGGTGAGTCCTGGAACTGGTCGGCTTTAAAACCTGCAAATAAATGGAATTAAAAGAAACAAATGTTTACTTTAATAGAATTTTGTCAAAACTTTTCCAAATTGTGGGAAAATATCTTCATGATGTTTTAAAACTTCTATAATGAAATAAGTAATAATAAAAATATTGGAAATACTCAGTCTTGACTGTTTGGACTGGAACAAAGATGATCAAAATATTATTAAATTCTGTATCCGTATTTTAACGATTATTATCACGATAATAATCGTATAATAATTAAAAGAAAACTAATTCTTTTTTTTTTAAGTAAGGATTGTTGCTGTTTTCATAAATAAAACAATAAGTTTATCAAACTGTTTTTTTTTCCTTCAACTTTTTTTAAACAATAATTTTATCTACGATTATCACAAAACTATAGATAAAAAAAAAACAACGTTTGTTAGTTTGGAAGAAAACTTGTTTAATTAAATAGAACAGAAAACTTTACTGGAGCACATTTAATGCTAATTAAAATTAAACCATTTTATTAAAGATCAACTAAAATGATCAATAATAACATTCTATAATTATAGTTTTTATAATAAACAGGCATACTAGCCTGTAAATAAATATCTTAAGTGTTGCTGCAGTTATTATTATTTTTTAAATACAACAAAAACTCTTTATTACAAACTAGTTTCAATTTATTGTCGTTATGAGCCAAATATTTTCTGTGGACTCAGCTGAAGTTTAGCTGTAGAGCACCTCTGCTGCTGGGAGGACCCAAACAAACTACAGCTTATAAAAATACAATTTTATCAAGAATATTATTTATAATGAAGAGCTCAGAACACCGGGAGCATCTGAGTAACCTTTAATAACTTCTGAAAAATATGTAGAAAAAATGTGAAGCTGGAAATATTTTTAATTGTTTTAATTATTATTTATTATTATTTTTACAAAGAATGAGTGGGGATTTAAAATATCTTTCTGTCTTAATAATAAATATTTGCCTCTTACGCAATGATACGATTTAATCGAGATTAGAAAAATTAAAAATACACACAAATCAAACTCATCAGAGCTGAAACTTCATGTGTTTTGTCAAATTTTATTTTATCGCCCTTTTTATATTTTGTCATAAAGTCCAAATTAAAACTGTCCAGTTCTCCAGAAAGTTCTGAGTGTCAGAAAAATAATGCTAAATAACCAATAATAAATGATAAATTTAAGTAAATAACTGCAAAATGTCTTGTTATTATTTTATTTATAATAATCTGTTGGCAATAAATTGATTAGAGTTCATTTGTAAGCAAACATCAAATGTTGTGAATTTGCAGAAATCATAAACAATAAATTCATTATGTAAATTTCACAATGTAGCTTGTTTTTATTTTTGTTTTACTTTTTATTTGATGTGCATTTCATGGCTGATGATTGTTGTGTGTACTTCATCTGTTTGTTTAAAACAGGTCTCTTTTGTAAATGAGTCCTCGTGACGCAATGAGACCAACTTGTAAATAAAAACTGAATGAATGAAAAAAACATAAATAAAAACACTTCTGGTGTCAGCTAGTTGAAAAGAAAACAAAACAAGAAAGTCTTTTTTAGAAAAATTTAAATGTGTTTATTTTAGGAGGTTCATTTCTTCGTTAATTGTTTTGAACTCCTTTAATAAATACATAGAAATGAAGCAGCACGAAAAGGCAAACGGGGAGACGGTTTCCTCTCTCGGCCACCGTAGAACCGTTGCCTCGGGGTGTTTAATTAAAGAGGAAACGAATAAAACAAAGAAAATTCACCGAAATACTCGGATTCATGACAGTTCTTTGAGTTTCTCAAATGAAGCGCATGTTGGAAATAAATCTTCAAATTATTTATTATTATTATTTTTATTTTCTGTGTTTATTTCTGCGCGTGGATCCGTCAGTTTATTTTTTCATTTTTTGGTGGAACTGTTTATTTTCCGCGCGTGCAGCTGCAGGCAGGGAGCAGGTGGCGCAGTTTGCAGGTGAAACGGTCAAAAGACGACGCGGAGCGGCTGCACGGGGTCACGCAGAGGTCAGCAGGTCTCCTCAGCTGCTCCTGAAGCACGCGCACGGTTTGAGCGGAGAGCCGCTCCCTCCCACACCGGAGACACACACACACACACACACACACACACTGGGGCTGCGTTTGAGGCTGGCAGTGCGCGTGCGTAAAGATGGCAGCAGGCGCTCTGCAGCTGCTCGTGATTTCTGCAGAATCTGTTGCAGACGAACTTCACGGATTTTACTTTAGATCCTGCAAACGGAGAAACAGAGCACGCGCACGTGCGTTCAGCTCATGCGCTTCAGCTTTCTTCAAGGCTTCAGATTCACACATGCTGGGGTTTTAAATTATTTTATGATCGTGTTGTTACCATGACAGCTCTGATAGAGAAATAAATAAATAAATAAATAAATGAATAAATAAATAAACACAGACTTTTGTAAAGTACTTAGGCCTTTTTCCCCGACAGAAACACGCTGTCTGTGCGCGCTCTGCTTCATTTGCTCCATCTTCACGACCCCCCACCCCCCACCCACACACACATTCACTGCAGTGTAATATTTATTTTATGAATCTTATCCCTGCCCGCCCCCACTGAACAAAGAGGAGGTGGATGCTGAGCCCTCCTCCACCCCCTGCTGCATTGAGAATTATCATTATTATCATTATTATTATTATTATTACTATTATTATTATTACTATTATTATTATTATCTAGGCGAGTGCCTCTGGTTATTACACTGTAATGACTCCTAACCACACATGGAACAATACAACAGGCCTTTTAAATGATTTATTTGTGTTTAGCAGACAGCCTTTGAATGGAGTCACAAATGTTTTTATTAATATTATTATTTATTATTATTATTATTATTATTATTATTACAATTTTCTAGAAGGAGCACATATACAAATTAGCCTGAATGCGGTGCAGTGCATGAAACCTTTTTGTCTTTGTGTTATCAAGAAACCGTTCGGATCCAATAAAGTAAAACAAAAACAGTATAGGCGAGATCTTTCTTAGGTGAATTAATAATAATAATAATAATAATAATAAATCGTTTGTTATATGATGAAAAAATATATATTTTTTTTATTTTTCTGTGATTAAACAAATTTTGTAGACATTCCTCTGAAGGTGCAATGATGTAAACACGTAAATATTATAAACATAACACAAGATAAAGTGTTTAATTGCATTAAAGTACAAGTATATGATAAAACTTATAGAATAATAAATTCATCAGCAAGATAATAAACAAAAATCTGATATATTGACTGAATAAAAGAAGTAAACAAGCAAAGAAACAAAAAAAAACAACACCTAAACAAAGATATCAAAGAAGTGTGAGCCCCCCCCCCCTCCCCCCCATCCCGCAGAACGAACCTGTTGCTTTGATTTAAAGGCGCGCGCAGCTTCCGGCCTGGAGGGACAAACATGTAGTTCTTCTCCTGACTTTTGGTCAGAAACTTGTTTTTAAAGATGCCGCTCATCTTAATGAAACGAGAGGAACGAGTGGATCAAGGACAGCTCTGTTTACTGTGTAGAAAAATAAAAACATGTAGGTTCTCTGTTTACTGTGTAGAAAAATAAAGACATGTAGGTTCTCTGTTTACTGTGTAGAAAAATAAAGACATGTAGGTTCTCTGTTTACTGTGTAGAAACATAAAAACATGCAGGTTTTCATCATCCAGTTTTCTTTCTCCTGAAATATTCCACCTGTTTGGCCTCTTCAGGCCTTCCTGTGTTTAATCGTCTGTTTTTTGTCCTGTCAGACGCCAAAGGCACCATCCGGGAGATCGTCCTGCCCAAAGGCCTGGACCTGGACCGGCCCAAGCGCACGCGGACCTCCTTCACGGCGGAGCAGCTGTACCGGCTCGAGCTCGAGTTCCAGCGGTGCCAGTATGTGGTGGGGCGCGAGCGCACCGAGCTGGCCCGGCAGCTCAACCTGTCAGAAACACAGGTGAGGAGAACTGTGGCAAGCCCATGCATCATATAATAACAAAAACAAACAAACGGAGAAAATTCAGTTCAAACTGAGAAATCAGGAAAAAGAACAGATTTTTGTTGCATCAGGAATAAACAGGTCTGAAAATATCAACAATGTCCCATTGTCCCATTTCTGTGGATTTTTTTTTTCAGCTCCAGATGTTCAGAAATACTTATTTTTGATGTAAAATGAAGATATTTAAAATTTATTTATCTCTGTAAATCCACAATGCTGATAAACTTATGAGTTTTACTTTAGATGTCTAAACATTATGGGTAAAAAATACTAATAATGCCAAAAACAAGCCACCCCCAATTTTTTTAAACAAAATTATTTGATGAGAAAAAAGCCGTAAAATGCACTATTCGCAAGTTAAAAAGTTATTTCAATCAACGGTGTTTAAAACAAAGATGTAATGAAAGAAGCCATTATGTCAAAAATAAAAGTCAACATAAACTTAATGGAACGCCATTTCTAAATTAAAATAACGGCTGGTATTGAATATATTTCATAAGCGTCTCCTTGTATTTGTCCCAGTTAATGAAACAAAATATTCATCTGAACATTTCCGAAAACAATAATCGCTCGTTGTTTAATTTATAAATGGTTTGAATTCCATTTAATTTTTTAACCATTTCAACACACAATCAAAGTTTTAAGATGACAGGATCAGAAAGCAGAAAAATAAATGTAAAAAAACAAACAAAAAAATAAGTTTATTTATTGTTTCAAGAGCACCAAGTGAGAGTGGGTATGTGTTATAATTTCTGAAAAGGCCTGTATCTCCTGTCCATGCAACTGCATAACAAACAGATTTTTAAATATGTATATATTTTTATTTAGTTAGTTTTTTAATTCCCACATTAGCTAGTGTTTAGAAAAATATCTGCTCCTCTTGTGGACACGTGGCACAACACAACAAAAACTCTCCGTTTGTAAAAACATTCAGGGCCGGGCCTCGAACTTTTAAATGTAGTTTTTTTCATGTTTTATATCGGTTATGGAGTCTTTAAATTTATTGAATTAAAAGAAATGTTAGCTCTGATCAGTGATCATGTCATTTTGCAGAAGAAGAATTTTATTTTTATTAGTTAAAAAGGTAATTAGAAACAGAAGCGTCCGTTGAATATATGTTACAATGACCACATCACAACTTTGTGCACCAAATTGAATAAACTACAAACGGTGCATTCAAATGCTGTTTTTAAAAAGTCGAATAAAATAAAACACGTTAGCGTTAGCTGGTTAGCTAACAGACAAAATAAATATCGCAGACTTAGTTTTTCTTAAAGTGGCTGAATACTTTGTTTTAAAGTAGCTTTCATGAGGATGTCAGTTTTGAAGTTATTTATTTCAGGTGTGTTTATCAGCCTCTCAGCCAATCACACGCTGGCAAAGGTTCTGATGCTTTTGACCTAGAACTTCTTCAGGAATTCAAAATTCAGAATGGGAAAACTATTATAAAAATACATAAAAATGTACACCACATGCTGAAACCCAACTATCTTTAGGTTGCACAGAATTCTATGCTTTATAAATATTGTGTGTGGGAGTTATGGATGAATTTGACACTTATGTGTCATTACTGCATCTAATTTAGTCCCTGAGGGGAGAAAAAAGTCTCTTAAATTTAGAAATGTTACTCAAAAAGGGCTTCTTGTCTAAGAAATGAAGGTTCCATTAATGTAACCATCCATCGTTTACTAAAAAAAGTTTTTTTTTAATATATTCTTTATGTATTAAAGAGACTAACACAACTAAGAAATCTAATTAAAAAATATAAAGGGGTTTAATATAAATCAGAATGATATATCTCAAAATTTCAGGTTATTTTTAACTGAGATTGTTTCTAAAATCTCGGCCCTTTTTCTCGTTTAAATGCATTTTTTAGGCCCTTCATGGTAACATGACAAAGTCTTAGAGCAGGGTTATTCAATAGGCGGTCCGGGGGCCAAATTAGGCCCACGGATGAACTCAGTTCGGCCCACCATTGGATTCATTTTTAAATAAAATTAGATTTTAAACCATAAAACAAACTTAATGACAATAACTGCTTGATGTCCGACCCCTGAGCTCTTGGCGTTCAATAACTGTGGCCCCCTAAGAAATTTAGCTGAATAGCCCTGTTTTAGAAATATAATATAAACGTGGCAGTCAATATGAGAACAAATGTTTAACAGACATTCTTCTAAATAAATGTCTCAAGTTTAAGTGTTTGTTACTTAAAAAGCAAAAGAAAATGCATCCAGAAATACCTGCACGAAATGACAGAGTATTTTAAAATGTAATTGTTTTTATGATGAGAGTGTATGGGGGAGGCTGCCGAGGCCTTCAGTGAGTTGCAGCTGCACCCTGACCTGCTTTAAACCACTTGTTGCAGCTGTAGACTCATACAGGAAGTTCACTGCTGCTGGCAGGAACACACATGTCACATGCACGAAAAAACAAGTCTGTGGTGCTGCAGTGGAGCACGGATCACTGTGGCCCTCATTAGAGCTGACTCTGAGGGTGTTAATGGGAAGGCCGGAGCTTCCTGCTGCTGCTGAGGAGGAGGAGGAGGAGGAGGAAGGCTGAATAAAACCTGTGGCCTTCAAATGTGAACAAAATTAAATCAGAAACGTCCCCTCCAGCACTGATGTAAAACATCAAGTCTCTCAACTTTATTAGCGCCGTGTTATGAAAGCAGCTTTCAGGAGCTGAAGGAAAAAGCTTTTAGCCAAGGCGAGTTTTTGTGGCGCTTTTTAAGCAAATCTGCCGTTCAAGGATAATTATGCACTAAAACAGAAAAACAGGAAGCCCTCAAACTTTTAGACATATTTATTAAAGCTGTTTGTTTATGTTTTGACTATTTTAT